TTATTTGAATTGACATAGCTTTCAGTATGCCATGCTGCATTGGAATTTAAAAAAAGAGTGTCGCTGGCAATCAATTCAGTACTGTAATGTTTCGCACCAAAGAGTGACACCTGCAAAGGCAAGAGTCATCGCAAAGATTGATAGCTGAAACTAGGATTTGATCAAATTTTTAGGTATTTCTTAGTCATGGTTTTCAGGTGTTTGATGCCATTCTATTCGCTCCATTCAGGCCATTATCAGTATGTATCATATTATCAATATGTACATATTATCTCAATTACCTCAACTACCTCGTACCCCTGCACATTGGCTCAGTACCGGTACTCCTTGTATATAGTCTCGTTATTGTTATTTTATTGTTACTATTTCCTTTGACACTTTTTAATTAGTAACAAAGAATGAGCAAGGAGGATCACTTTTTAAAACAAAGGAGGGGAGAGAAAAGGAGGAGATTATTGTAAAAATGAATGGTTAAGAGAGTACTTTTCTCCCCTAAGGGACTCAATCACTCATTCACTCTAACTGTTCCAAAGGAAGGCTTATGTGTACTCGTGTTCTTGGCAAGCGTCCCTGTTTTCTTTGCAACTTTTTTTCTGGCAGACATCTTTTCTCTTTATTAAGCGCTCATGGTTTTCATAATAGATATTGTTTTCTTGTTGCATTTTATTAATGTTTGGGAAGGGAGAGCTAAGACTCACTAATGATAGGTCTATGTATCCAACACACCAAAGCAAAACTAAAGCAAGTCAGGACACGGACACTACCATTTTTGTCTTCTTAATGGTGCATGATGGCCTAAGACACTTTTGGCTCCACAATAATTCATACACAATTCACACATATCTATTGTAAGCCTACATGCATGCACACATACAGTACACCTATACAAACAGTAGATACACCGACCCATTGTAAAACACACACACAGACTATTACTCTCGTGTATGGCTTTATTACAGTATAACAAACTGCTCTTAGGCACAACACCTGAATTCCGTTCTTTGATTCCCTGAAAGGCCAAGCCCATCTCTGCCTTGACCTGCCGAAACTCACCCTCACACCCTCTCCTCTGTGTGTGTGTCATTGGGCTAGAAAATCCCAGACAATCACAGGATCACCACAACAGACAGAAACTACACCCTGTCAAATTGATGAGCATGACTTCATCTTTTTCTTTTTTCCTACCTCCCATATCTCTTACTCTCTTTCTTTCTTCCCATATCTTACTGACTTTATCTCTCTTTTTACCTCCCTTTTGCTTCCTTTCTATACTTTTCTTCTCTGTGTCACTCAGGCTTTCATTCTTTCCCTTTCTTTCTCTATTTCGCTCTCTCTTTATATGCATTTCCTTCCCCTTACTGTATGTAGCCCTGGAGGTGAACACTTCTACCCACTAGGCTTGTCAGACCATTATGATATACAGTGTTAAATCCAGTGCAGCCATTACAACCACCTTTCTTTTCTCTATACTATAGCTCTGATTCCTTCATACATTCTTTAGTATTGACCTAATGGAGAGATAAATTAGTATGTGTTTGTGTGTGTGTGTGTGTGTGTAATGTACAATATGTAAGATGTATGTTTATACCATGGCATTGTTGAATACTTGTTTCTGATTGTCTTGAAGGGCATTCTAGAGCGTGCATTATTTAAGTGATGACAGAGAAGCCGGTGTTTGGAGGATATATTGGCACGGGTGTAGTTAGGCCCGAGATGAAGTCACGTTATATTTGCAAGGTCGAATTCAGTGGCTATGGTTCATTCTTCCATGTGCTATGTTTGAGCTGCTTCTGAAAGCAAAAGTCACATTGAAAATATGATTTGCATTGTTGAATTAGATTTTCATAATGGCAAGCTAGGACTGATGGTTTGTTTGGTTACCACGGCGATGACTGTAGCTCTCTAGTAAACTTGCTAGTTACTTCAATGGATGTTGAACACGTTTCTAGCGGCAAATGTGTTAAATGATGGTATGAAAGGGATAATCAACTAGGGCCTCTACGCGTTCTCTAGAAAATAATGCAACTCCTTGGAAGGTCACTCCGCTAGCATGTTGTGGAACACACCTTCCACAACTGTGTTGGGACAGGTTGATGAGTCAGAGTTTACTCACACACACACACACACCCACCCACTCACTCACTCACTCACTGGCAGTAAATGATGTGACTTTTACCAAAAGAGGTCCTGCAGGCCGCAAAGAGTCAGGAATCTAGCATACATCACTGGCCCTGTTGTACCATCATTAAGTTTGCCGACGACACAACAGTGGTAGGCCTGATCACCGACAACGATGAGACAGCCTATAGGGAGGAGGTCAGATGACCTGGCAGTGTGGTGCCAGGCTAACAACCTCTCCCTCAACGTGATCAAGACAAAGGACATGATCGTGGACTACAGGAAAAGGAGGGCCAAGCACGCCCCCATTCTCATCGACGGGGCTGTAGTGGAGCAGGTTAAGAGCTTCAAGTTCCTTGGTGTCCACATCACCAACGAACTGTCATAGTCCAAACACACCAAGACAGTCATGAAGAGGGCACGACAACGCCTATTTCCCCTCAGGAGACTGAAAAGATTTGGCATGGGTCCTCAGAACCTCAAAAAGTTATACAGATGCACCATCGAGAGAATTCTGACTGGTTGCATCACCGCCTGGTATGGCAACTGCTCAGCCTTCGACCGCAAGGCAGTACAGAGGGTAGTGCGTACGGCCCAGTACATCGCTGGGGCCAAGCTTCCTGCCATCCAGGACCTCTATACCAGGCGGTGTCAGAGGAAGGACCTCAAAATTGCCAAAGACTCCAGCCACCCTATTCACAGACTGTTCTCTCTGCTACCGCACGGCAAGTGGTATCGGAGCGCCAGGTCTAGGTCCAAAAGGCTTCTTAACAGCTTCTACCCCTAAGCCATAAGACTCCTGAACAGCTAACTAAATGGCTACCCGGACTATTTGCCTTGAACCCCCCCCCCCCCCCCCATTTTTACACTGCTGCTACTCTCTGTTTATTATCTATGCATAGTCACTTTACCTCTACCTACATGTAAATATTACCTCAATTACCTCGACTAACCTGTGCCCCCACACATTGGCTATGTACCGGTACCCCCTGTATATAGCCTTGTTACTGTTGTTTTATTGTTGCTCTTTAATACAAAAATCTATTTATATTTTCTTCTATTTTTCTTTTTTTTAAACTTTAGTTTATTTGGTAAATACTTTCTTAACACTTATTTTTCTTAAAACTGCATTGCTGGTTAAGGGCTTGTGAGTAAGCATTTCACTGTAAGGTCTACACCTGTTGTATTCGGCGCATGCGACAAATAAAATGTGATTTCATTTGATTTCATTTGTACTGTTTCTATCATATGTTTTCAATGCACTTTAAATAAAGTTTGGTTTGATTGAATATGTCTTGATTTCAAATTCAATTAATCACTCAATCAACCTAAGGAACGAGTCAGGAGTCGCACAACACACTGTCTATGAGATATGACTCATGCATCAACATCTGTTGCCAAGAAGAGACAATGTTCGCAGACACTTTCTCACACACATTCACAAAATTCAAGAGACAGAGCTAAAATTCCCCTCACTGAAAGTAGGTGTATACTGTATGTTGAAAATAAATTGTAGAGTTTCCAATTGCCAAAGGAGTACAGTATACTGGAAATTATATCACTGGAACCTAAGGCATCAACTTGTCTGTCATTAAAATCATCCACTGGGTGTGGTGAACTAAAGTTGGCATGATCAAAGCGAGTAAGTGATTATACTACTGAAAGAGGTTGTAATATACGTAATTCATTCATGTGCAAGACTGTACTCCAAAGATTGTGAACTTGGCCACGCTGTAGACATGTATAAACTTTAATATATGCATTTGCCCTAAGCAAATCCTTCTGTGCCAGCCTCTTCAAGCCTCTTTCACTCCCCCTAAGGCTCTGCATCAGTAGACTGATAGTATAACAGCTTATGTCAGAGACTAGGGTAGTTTTGTATAGTGACTGAAAATAACAAGTACATGCACCTAGGCTTTACATGTGGTTTGGGTCAATCTAATGAGCCACTCTGCTGCAGGTCCGACAAACATTGGATATGTGTGACTGTGTGTGTGTATGCATATGGGTGTGTGTTGTGTCTATACAGTAGGCTTGCCTTTTCATATAGGGTATGTTTATTTAAGTTATCTAAACACATCAAAATGTCCACCATACATAGTGAAGACATAGTGACACAACAATAAAGTATCTCAAAGTAACCACATTTTACTGCATTTCTCCTTCACTTTCTCATAGCTCTGTAACTACTCTCGTAGCTCTGTAAGCTAGTGCACATTCATTCTCTTGAAGAGACCTCTCGTAAAATGCAATTATTCCCAAAGGTTAAAAGACTCACCCTACTTGTCTACTCACATTCACCCCCCCCCCCCCCCTCTCTCTCCACAACTCTCTCTCTCTCTCTCTCCCCTTTAGCCAGAATCAGGGTGTGTCATGGGCTTATCTCCTCTCAATCCTTCTCTACCAGTCTGACAGGACGGGCCACTCCTGCCAGCCACAGCCTCAGAGAACCAAGGGAGAGGAAGGAGGAGGGAAAGAAAGAGAAGGGGGAAAGAGAGAGAAGTGCAGGTAAAAGTGGGTGTGTCAACCTGTTCCAGGTGAATGCTCCTCCCCTTGGCTCAAGAGTAGGATAAAATCCGTCCGGCGTCAGCCAGATCGTCACTTGAGGGACTTGACTCTCCTTTTGAAGCCTCCTTGTCCTCTGTCCTTCTTCTGTTGCTCTCTACCTCTCTCTGTTTTTTCGAGAATTCAGGCTTGTAAAGCAGAGTCAACTCTACCCTAAAGTTTCAACCATGAGCTTCAGCAGGACAAGCTACTCCAGTGGCGGCAGCAGCATGGGCGGCAGCAGCATGAGCGGCGGCATGGGCGGCGGCATGGGTGGCGGCACCAGCATTCGCAGGAGCTTCACCAGCCAGTCAATGATTGCCCCCGGATCCACCAGGATGAGCAGCGGATCTGTCCGTCGTTCTGGCGCCGGGTTCGGTGGTGGCATGGGCATGGGCGGAGGCAGCGGCTTCAGCTACAGCAGCAGCAGCAGTGCAGGTGGCTACGGTGGTGGTCACGGTGCAGGATTCGGTGGTGGTATGGGTGGTGGATTCGTTTGCGCCCCCATCACAGCTGTCACAACCAACCAGAGCCTGCTGGCCCCCCTGAACCTGGAAATCGACCCCAACATCCAGGTGGTCCGCACCCACGAGAAGGAGCAGATCAAGACCCTCAACAACCGCTTCGCTTCCTTCATCGATAAGGTCAGTTCCTGTTAACCCTATGTGACTCCACCTCGCCTGCACTACAAACACTGAGCATTCACATTGATATCGATTGCATTCTATCTTACTGTATATACTGTAATGAGCAACATAAGTACCAGTACACGTTTCCATTGACTTTCTCATACACTGAATTTATTCTTAAAGAAAGTGAACTTAAAGCCTGTGTTCAGAATGATATTATGGTGCTTTGCTCGTGTAGAGCTATACTATTTGCAGGCTTCCTTGTCAGACTGTTGTTAAGTAACCAAATAGATATTTGACATTGACTACCAGGACATGATGAGATACTTGTATTTTGTATCACTATGCAATGATCACAATCAATGGAGTTAACCAGAAAGGTGACAAATACAAGCGTTTGCTCTCACCTCACATATTAGCATCCTAATATAAAAGGATTCCCTGGCTGTATATAGCTGAGAAAAGCTGATTTCAATATGCAGGCATGTTTCATTTTCTGCTGACAAAGCCCTTATGTCACAACTCCCCTTATGAGCTCAAGAATATTACACTCTGGTTCAAAGAAAGAGAAAGATAGGACGCCAAGGCAGCTATGAATCTTATCTCTAATGCTGCATCCGTCAACTGTGCAGAAGCTGTTTCTGACTCTGCCCCTGTGTTTAACTTTCACAAAAGGACTCCACCCAGGAGTTGCAAAAAAAAAAAAAAAGATAGCCCATGGCCTTGTCAGGGCCTGTGACTGTAGTGGACTCTGTGGCTGCTATCTAAACAAGGGTGGAGACCCGTCTCTCACCCCATGACTCACTCCATCTCATACCTGCGGGGTGTGGTCATGTGGACCTAGCCACAGAGTCCAAAGTCTATTCCTGTCGCTGTTGTTCTGGGAGATGAGTATGTTGGGTGCAGTTGCAGTAAATCAACTTTCCCTACTGTCTTTTCCAAGGGAAGATGAACTCCATGTTTCCACCAGCCTATAGGTATTTTCACCTGCACACCCCCTATATGCCTTGCTTGAAGTAGAGAATAAATTAAATCCCCTTAATTGGCAGAGAGTCAACTCTCACAAGCAAGGCAAACAACAAAGTAAACACCCCTTCAAAGCTGCTTTTGTCTTCAGTGGTTTATCTGCCACACCTAGTTCTTTATGGCTGGAATGAATGCGTGGCCTTCACAGTGAAATGGAGCAAAAGAGATATGAGAGATAGGTAAAACATTTCAAGCCATACACAGTGAGCCTCTCCTAGGCAGAGAAAGTCTGGATATGCTTTGGGATGCCGATAAACACTCTTACACTTGCCTATCTTTTGTTTTGAGAGTGAACAATGAGAGCTACACATCTCAGGGCAGGTTTCATCTTGCCTCCCAGGATGTAAGCTTCTCAGACTAGATGTATACCCATAGATTACCATATGTCATCATCAGTTAAATGAACAATGTCTTGGACAGGGAGTGGCTGTTCAAGCCCAACCCTGTGATGCTATCTACACAGCTATGCAGGTACTGGTGTGGCTTTTACTGCAAGTCGACATCAGTGAAGTTATTTTTTTGCCACACCATTGGAGCCCAATTCTTTCTACTCCCTTTTAAAAATTGACAGAAGAAAGGCTGACAACTGAATTTGAATTTAGAGTCTATAAAGCCTTATTTATGGATCCATCCATCTATCCATCCATCGCCCATCATCATTCATTCATGAACACATTCATCCATTTATTCACTCACTCACTGACCATTTCCCTTTTGTCCCTGCAGGTGCGTTTCCTGGAGCAGCAGAACAAGATGCTGGAGACCAAGTGGAGCCTCCTGCAGGACCAGACCACCACCCGCTCCAACATCGACGCCATGTTTGAGGCCTACATCTCCAACCTGCGCAGACAGCTTGACGGCCTGGGCAACGAGAAGATGAAGCTGGAGTCGGACCTGCACAACATGCAGGGTCTGGTTGAGGACTTCAAGAACAAGTAAGTGTCGATATGTCGGATGTGCATCAAAAGTAGCCATATTAGTATAAGCAATAACCTTTAACCTCAGTGTAAGAAGCAACCCAGAGTGATGACTTTGCATGAAATATTGCCCTTTGCTTTGTCACCAGGTATGAAGATGAAATCAACAAGCGTGCCTCAGTGGAGAACGAGTTTGTCCTGCTGAAGAAGGTGTGCAGGATATAACATGATGTCTCGTCATAACTCATGTCAGAGTTAGAACCAATTTCAATTCCATTCCATTAACTCCTCTCTCTCTCTCTCTCTCTCTCTCTCTCCCCAGGATGTTGATGGTGCCTACATGAACAAGGTGGAGCTGGAGGCCAAGGTTGACGCTCTTCAGGATGAGATCAACTTCCTCAGGGCCATCTACGAGGCGGTACGAACCATTCATTAACTTTTTCAACATTCATTAACTTTTTCACATTTACCATACAACACATAAGTCTTCCATATCTGAATCTTGGAGAGCTTCAACATTACATGATAGTCAATGAATCAGATGCGGGCTGAAATCTAAAGGCTTCTCTCCATCCTATCTTGGTTCTTCAGGAGCTGCGTGAGCTGCAGGGCCAGATCAAGGACACCTCTGTCGTGGTGGAGATGGACAACAGCCGTAACCTGGACATGGACTCCATCGTGGCCGAAGTGCGCGCTCAGTACGAGGACATCGCCAACCGCAGCAGAGCTGAGGCCGAGACCTGGTACAAGCAGAAGGTAAGCCAAGTCTAGGTTTCAAGAGCAAGGTCAAAAGACATTAACATAGTTTACCAGGACATGTTCAGGCAAAATAAGCAACATTTCTGTGAGCGCTTCCTCAATCTTCACCTCCCTCATTATAATTTTCTTACATTTCTTCCTCACTTTTCTCAGTATGAGGAGATGCAGAGCTCTGCTGGACAGTATGGCGAGGACCTCCGCTCAACCAAGACTGAGATCGCCGAGCTGAACCGCATGATTTCTCGTCTCCAGAATGAGATTGAGTCTGTCAAGGGACAGGTGAGGGTGCCATCTCATTTTAGAACCTCCTTTATGAGGATTGTCTGTAAATGGCTGATGTCCAAGCAAGATGGTTCATAGCACTAGCTTATTACCATTAGCCGCTAATCCATGTTTCTACCGTAGATACAGGCTAATGTCAATGAGCAGTTTGCTAATATTCGAGGTTAATGCTAATGCACCATTCTCTTTTACCACAGCGGGCCAACCTTGAGGCTCAGATCGCTGAGGCAGAGGAGCGCGGTGAGATGGCGGTGAAGGACGCCAAGCTCCGCATCAAGGACCTGGAGGATGCCCTCCAGAGAGCCAAGCAGGACATGGCCCGCCAGGTGCGTGAGTACCAAGAGCTGATGAACGTCAAGCTGGCCCTGGACATTGAGATTGCCACCTACAGGAAGCTGCTGGAAGGAGAGGAAAGCAGGTGAGTTAAAGCTGGATAGTTGAGACGTTAGCCTCTTAGCTTAGCATGTTATCAATGCCAGTTAGCATCTTTTATCAACTTTCCATCCAAACTTCAATAACATTGGTGTTATATATTCACAGAATATCCTCCGGTGGTGCATCTGCAACAATCCACGTGCAGCAGACCTCTGGCGGCAGTAAGTACCATTTTGATTTAATTTCTAATTGTCTCACCAGCTTTTACGTTATGCTGAGGAATACACATGGAGTTTGCCATGCATCATTGAAACCGAAATATCCTCTAGCTTTACAGCAGATTAAACTGATCCCACTCTCTCTCTGTACGCAGACTACTCCGGCGCAAGCTCAGGTGGATTCGGCTATGGCGGTGGCAGCGGAAGCTACGGCGGTGGCAGCAGCTTTGGCGGCGGCAGCAGCTTTGGCGGCGGTAGCAGCTACGGCGGTGGCAGCAGCAGCTACGGCAGTGGCGGAGGTGCCACCATCACCAAGTCCGTGACATCCACCAGCTCCAGCAGACGTTACTAGTGTCCTTCAACTCTCCACCCAAACCAGACTTATACCAATCCACGATGGTACGCAGTACTCTTAGTCACAGCAATATCCCTGTTGAGTTAAAAGTGATGGGGGAACATCTAGCAAACCTGATGATTTACAATGAGATTGATGAAATGTATTTACGTTTCTTTTTTCAATCCCTCACAAGACAGAAAGATAAGAAGAAGAATACAGAAGTTGAATTATAGTACCTTGATAGTGGTTCACTGGAAAACAATGAATGTATCAATGTGTTAATCCAGGCTCAATAGCTGTTCTCCCCTCATTCACATCTACTCTTTACCATAATTAGCAGGTAACCCAGAATGTAAAAGTGCCAGGTCCTCACAAGGCCTAAATTCCAAATTTTCTGCACTGACGATTAAAGGAATAGAAAAAGGAAAAAAAGAAGAAAAAAATTCTAAGATCTTGAGGGAAAAGTTTAAACCAACCATAAAGAAAGCTTGCTAGGGATCCTCCTTGTATCTTTGTCAGCTTGTATGTTGCATCTAAATGCATCAGTGGTTGTTGGGCATATTGTTCTAGTGTCACACATAGGCGGCAGTGCCATGATCATAATCAATCAACTATGGACACTTGCTGATTTGGCCGCTGAACGGAGAAAACCCTCCCACCCTTGTGGGAATACCCTCATATTCATTTAAGGGGATTTATGAATGCTATGAAAGCAATTACATAATGTGTTCACGTAAAAAAAAATAGGCCTTGTTACTAACACATGGCCTGTCTCTTTCATAGTGTACTGAAGTAGCCATACAGAAGCACCTGTAGTCAATCTTCACTCGCATAACTCTAAAGGAAATACATTTTTCTCAGAAGTTTACATTTTTAGAGAGGTTTTCTGTAAATAGTTTTCTTCTATGCTTGGTTTTGATTTTTATGACCATTAGAAGGAAACCAGATTTATTTGTGAAAGTTTTCTCAACAACCTACATAATTTGTGAAAATTGACTTTTTAACACCAAAAAGAACAAATTGAATAAATCTGCGATCTAAAATCACTGTCTGCTGTCTCTTTTACTATATTTTATTTTTTAATGTTTGCCTTTTTTCTGAATTTTGTGTGCTTCACATGCGTCTCTGGCACCATCTAGCACCTCCTTTGATCAAATGAAACTACAATGTTGAGCATTTTGGAATTTCAGAGTATTAAACCCCATTAAACTGATAACTGCGTATTCATAAAATACTGATCATTTGACAAATACAACAAGCACTCAAAAACCCAGTTAGTTATCAGTCATTGTCTTATGAAGGGACACAACACTCAAACACATAACATCCAATGTTTTATTTCACATTCATTTCATATACAACAATTGAGTTTGATTGAACTATTTATGACTTCCTCTCCTACTCAAGACAGTCTTATTAGATTGCAATAAAGAAGCATAATCACAGACATATGAGTGATTCCTCATGAAACTAGAACAAAAAAAGACCATAGAAGCGTCCTTTGGAGGAAGGATTGTTGACATATATTTGACACTTGTGTCTTAAAATATAACTGGGAAATAATTAATTGAAGTTAGAATATTTGTGACATTTAGGCCTTACCCAGGCCTCCTTTAAGACTCCATAATGTTTAATCTGTAGGTGCTACAAAGCAAAAGTTGGCGTCATATGAAGCTTTACCACTTGCTCTGTAATATGAGTAGTATTTTGATTTCAATAACACATTTCTAACATAAATGTATAAATATTGAAAAGTACATTACAGAGTGGGATCTCTGCTACTTTTAGAGTTATGATCCAATTTGTAAGCATTACCAACAGAGTGAATATGAAAATTGATTTAACAAATGGTCGCCCTCTGTGCTGGTGATTTGCAGGATGTACAAGGAGGGCTGTGATTGGTTACATTGCCTACTATGCCAATATAAAAATAAAATGGGCCATAACTTTAAGACTAGCAGAGATCCCACTCTGGAAATTCGATATGCTCGTAGAGTAAATGTAATGAAAATCCCAAAAATCATTGTATTTTTGTTTGTTCTAGTTTCATGAGGAATCCCTTATAGGGCAAATTACAAATGTCACCCTACTCCCCCCTGAGCACAGACGTAATTTAAGCGTCATTCCACGTTGGTTCAACATAATTTAATTTAAATGACATGGAAACAACATTGATTCAACCAGTCTGTGCCTAGTGGGTCCCTTTATTGTGCACAACATATTCACCATAGTCACATGACTGGTAGAAAGTAGGGCACTATATAGGGTTTAGGGTGAAGTTTCAGACAGGTCCATACATTTAATTGAATTGTAAATACACAAAAACGATCTACTGCACAGGGGTTGTATGGAGGTTTTCGGAGAGAGCTTCCTGCATGTTTCTGGACACTCCCTCCATTCCTGGTGCCTCTGGGCCAGCTGTGGACACCCCCTGAGAAGTGACAGCATTTGTTGTCTCCCCCTTCTGGACACGATAGACACACATATACACTAATATGGCCACTCCAGATACGGCTGTGAGGAGAGCTGTGATGATGAGTCCAACATTTGGTTTGTGCCATTCTGTTGAAAGGGAAGAGAGAACACAACAGTTACAGTGAACTGCGAGCATTGGGTATGGAGTGTAAGATCATTCAGACACAGTCATTATGTGGATTGCACTGTAGTACTCGATTACAGTACAGAGGAGGGGAGAGGCAGACATACTGTGATTACCTATATATAGATGGAGTTGCTTTTAGTAAAGCAAGAAAACATAGGTACTCACTGCTCACGAAGATCCTCACTGAGGACCCAGTCTGTTCAGACCTTATAATTCTACAGGCATACTCCCCTGATATGACAGGGGCATGAAGCATGGTCCTCAACTCCTCCCCTGAGGCGATTGGCTCATTGTCGATTATGTTAATGTACGACTCTGTGGAGACCCTCGTCAAGTACATGGAAAGCTGAGGAAAATTATGTGAAGAAACATCACCAATGGAAATGTTGTTGACATAGACAGTACTTGCATACACCCAGTAGCATTTTAGGGTTCATAGGTCAGATCAGTGGGCATGGTTGATATGCATAAGAATTACTTCATAATAGGATGATACATCAATGCATTATCACTTATCTACCTACAACATATTTGGCTGGCTAGCAAAACAACTTTGAAGCCATTTTTCTCAGTTTCACTGTTAGCGAAGTTACTGTAGGGCAGTATTGTAAGGAGCTACAGTATTACCTTTTCCGTACCAAACCAAGGGGCATTGAACATGCAGGACAATTCCAACGAGTGCTCATCACTGATGTCGACTCTAGATACCTCTCTGTAGCCTGTGACTGAGATCTTGGGAGTTGGCAGAGCATCTACAGGCAGAGGGAGAGGATTTGAGATTGGAAAAATAGTACAGAAAACAAGACCTTAGGCTCTTACTGTGAGAAAAATCCATTCAAAATATAAAAAGCAACAAATCTTCAAAATACAAGTATCTGGTCAAAACAGTGTCACAAAATATTAGGTAACACCCTTACAGAGTGTTTCCCAATCCTGCGGACCCAAAGGGTTGGATTCAAAACCAACAATAACACACCTGATTCAACTTATCAAAAGCTCGATGAGTAGTTTTTAAGTTGAATCCGCTGAGTTAGTGCTGGGCTATCAACAAACATGTGCAGACCTTTGGGTCCCCAGGACCAGGATTGGGAAAAACCCTGCCCTGATGGCAATTTAATAACCAACAACCTGTTAAAGAGTAGTACAGCATTAACACCAACCAACACAACTTGATGAAGAATGCACTCTACCCACCTGAGCAAACCATTTTCACCCCCTTCCTAAAGCTACAAAGGGGCTGCACCTCATCAATCTGACACTCCCTGAGTCGTCCCTCGCTTCCTCTGCACAATATGGACCCCATGGAGAAGTCATCAACCTTACGGTTGTAGTCTTGCTTCGTCGAGACGGAAAATAGTGTCCCACAGCCCAGCTCTCGACAAACCACGCTACCCATTGCCCGGTTCCAGCTTTCTAACTGTTGGACAGAAACTCTGTCTTGGCACACAGGGCCCCAGCTGCCTCTGACCTGCACCTCCAGTTGTCCCAGACACTCGGAGCCCTGATACTGGGGCACAAGACGGATAGGGGCCTCCTCTGTGAGAAGCAGGGTGGAGGGTCAGAGGACATATTACATATTCAACAGGTTACTTTTTAGTTAGTCATTTTAATCTGGTCATATACAGTATAAAAAATAAAGAAGAAAAGTCACATGCATATACTGTTTGCTCACAACAATTTACTAGATAAACCAACGTTTCGACTCACAGTGCCTTCTTGAAGAGGGCACTGAGTGCCAAAACATTTGTTTACCTATTAAATATACAGGTGTCGACTTTCTTTCGTATTTTTATACAGTTTACTCTCCTTTAGTTAACACCTCTACAAACAGTTTTTGGGTGTGCGTCAGCTCATGCTTTTTACTGGACTCTGGTCATATTCAGTGCCTGCAGACTGCCAACACATTACGTTACATTACAGTACAACACAGCATCATTACTGTAGGCCAATTGACTATTATCTCTTCCTGAGCTCATACACTGACCTGCAATAGCTGGGAGGGGACTGGAGGGAGGAGAGAGGTAAATATGCTGGTTGAAGTCCACAATCTCCAGTCTGCAGACAAACTCAAAGGTTTCTGTGCCGTCCACTAGCCACCTGCTCAGTGTTATGGAATCGTGGATGTCAAGCAGGGCCGCTAACCCCCTAAGCTTAAAGATCTCATTTCCCACAGTAACAGGCAGCTCTCTGTAGTAAAGGGCCAGGGTTCTGTTGGGGAAGTGGGTGGTAGTTTGGCAGTTCACGGTGTAGTTTCCTCCAATGGGTATGAAGGCGGGCACAACCAACTTCGGCGCTGGGAGAGAGGCTGTTCGAGTGGAGAGGACAGATGGAGAGAGATAAGAGGGTGAGAGAGATAGGACAGTGAATGTCATACATTTATTGATGGACAGTTCTCTCTTTAAGTCTTCATCTCTTGGCTATTTGTTCCTTTGTAGGTTTCAGTAATCATAATGACTTAGGGATCGATTCAAGCCGTATTGCGACAACCCCTGATGGCCACTAGATTATTGCCAACTGATCTCTCGTTAAACCATCAATACGAGGTAAAATCACCCGCACAGCTGATCTCAATTGCAACCATTATCCACCACCAATTTACCGCCCGATAAAGGTGCTTGCAGACGGGCCACGGTCAACGGCAATTGAACCGTGAGAAAATCTGCCTACCGTGTGTAGAGACCAGCGGTCCTGGTTGTTGTCAGCTCGAATGCTGTCATTAAAACATTGTTTGATTGGTTGATGAATTCTGCTCATTGGTCAACGATGTGCATCGGCCGCACAAGACTTCAGCTAATTTCATCTTTTGGCGCCCCGAGCACCGATCCAGCAGTGCCGCTCACGGGTGCGAGCACCCTGAACTGTGCCGCTTGCAAAACTACTTGCGTTTTGCTGCCTGACTTCCTACTCCCATTAAGTCTATGAGACCTTCGCCAGTTACCGCGGCCCGTCTATAAGTGCCTTAACACGGACGTCGGTGTTATTGTTCATCAGGGACACTGGATATAATGACGAGAAGCTTGTGCCTCTGGCCTAACAATAGGGTTTGTTGTCCACAGAGTGGAACGGCTGGCTGCCCCAGTCTATTCCTTTCTTTGGATTGGTGGATACATCTCGTTATTTTAATACTTTTTTGAATATTCAAAGGGTGTTGACGTCAACCGCCTGTATTCAATGGAGAGTGAGATGCTTGTCTCATAAATATGCACAGTCTCGAATTCCGATATAAAGTGCTTTTTCTCAAAGTTGCCGGGATGTCACGTGCATCACACTTACACTCAACGGCCAGTTTATTAGGCACACCACCCCGTTCACGAAAACGGATCGCTCCTACAGAAAGTGAGTCACGTGGCTTGCTATATAAAGCAGGCAGACAGGCATCGAGGCATTCAGTTACTGTTCGATTGAACGTTAAAATGGGCAAAACAAGTGATCTAAGCAACTTTGAGCATGGTATGATTGTCGGTGCCAGGCACACCAGACCCAGTATCTCAGAAACGGCCACCCGCCTGGGCTTTTCACACATGACAGTGTCTAGGGTTTACCGAGAATGGTGCGACAAACAAAAAACATCCAGTCAGAGGCAGTCCTGGAAAACAGCTTGTTGATGAGAAAGGTCGAAGGAGAATGGCAAGAATCGTGCAAGCTAACGGGCGGGCCACAAACAGACAAATAACGGTGCAGTACAACAGTGTTGTGCAGAACGACAGCTCGGAACACACAACTCGTTGATCCTTGACGGAATGGGCTATTGCAGCAGATGACTACACCGGGTTCCACTCTTATCAGCTAAAAACAAGAAGAAGCGGCTCCAGTGGGCACACGATCACGAACACTGGACAATTGAGGAGAGGAAAAACATTGCCTAGAACATGACAGCAAGATCAGTTTATTTGAGTGGCCAGAGCAGTCCCCAGACCTCAACCCAATAGAGCATATTTGGGATGGGGTTGAATGGGTTGTTTGCAGCATGAATGTACTGCCGTCCAATCTGCAGCAACTGCGTAATACCATTGTGTCAGCATGGACCAACATCCCTGTGGAACATTTCCGACACCTTGTAGAATGCCCCAAATAATTCAGGCTGTTCTGGGTCCGACCCGGTACTAGATTGTACCTAATAAACTGTCCGGTGAGTGAATATCAGTACACTCGTAACAACCTAAGCATTACGAAACTTCTACTAGATCAAATAAGCCTGACGTTTCAAAATAGCAATTCATTTTTTTTATTGACTAAATTCGACATTCTCTCATTGCCCCCCATACGAAAACTCCCCACTAGCTTAATGATTAATGATCTGCTTAACATGGACAGCTTTTGGGTGGAGTAAACCCTCTCGCTTCACATCTTCCTCTGTCTTTTAGTCCTATTTGCAACCAACATTTTTCAAGACAATTTTGCCCTCTGGTAGGTATCATCATCGGACCATTTTAATCTTGATATTTGAGCAGACTAACGGCGATGTATCTATTTGACAGTCATTCCATAGCCCTACAACTGAATGACAATGAGCCATACCTTACACATTTTATGTATGGCAAAAATCATGGTGTAGGACTAATTCTGCAGCAGTAGTGAATACAGACAATGAATATTTCCGCTGTCTTGTATCAAGCTTGACACCATAACAGCATCAGATCAGCTGGCCTGCTAGTTTTATTCCGCTGTTTTTTCGTTGCAACCAAGTAATTTTTTGCCTGGCTACCCTGACTCCTTGCTCCGGCCAAATGCTACGCCACGCCCACAGCATTAGTTTCTTCTCCGCGATGAGTCCGGATCTGAGTACACCCCCTGACCCTTCCCCAAATGCGAACACATTTGGGGCCGTCTGATTGGTCCAGAAACCGATGGGTTGGGCCAAAGCCAGAACACACGTGGGTAAAGCGGCAGTTTGAAAATGTGTCATTGGCTTAGATACTCTGATTGGTTAGAGATGGTTTTACACTGCTGCTACTCACTGTTTATTATCTATGCATAGCCACTTTACCCCTACCTACATGTACAAATTATCTCGACTAACCTGTACCCCCTCACATTGACTCGGTACCGGTACCCCCTTTATATAGCCTCGTTATTTTATTGTGTTACTTTTTATTGTCTTTTTTACTTTAGTTTATTTAGTAAATATTTTCTTAACCCTATTTCTTGAACTGCAATGTTGGTTAAGGTCTTGTAAGTAAGGTCTACACCTGTTGTATTCGTCGCAATATATTTTAGCCTCTTGGGGAGGCTAAAAGATGCATAGTTCAGCCATTATCCGAGAGGAAGTTGTATATCTGTTATATATTTTAATTTTTTTTAAGTGAAGAGGGGCATCTGTTAAACATTACATGATGATCTGTAATAAGAGAGTTAGAGACATTACGACACACTTACAGATGGTGAGGTTGGCTGGATTGCTTGTTCCCGACACGTCTCCAGTACTGGTGGCATTGTACCAGCATACGTAGATCCCCTCATTGGCTGCAATGGCTTTCGTGGTGAACCTGACATTGTCTCTGGATTGTATAGTGAGGGAATCTATCGCAGAGAGGGATTGGTTGTCCCAGCCAAAAGAGACAGTTACTGGAAAGCGAACATTTATCGGAAGAGTGCATATCAGCTCCACGTCTGAGAAAAGTTCGATGTTGCGGCCAGAACTGGAGCGGTGGAAAGAGAGGGAGGGGGCTGGAAGAGGGCCTGTGGAACAGTGAGGAAATGTGTTCGATACTTTTCAATTTATTCTGTACCAGACCTTATTAAGACCCCGTCCTCCCCGCCTATCACACGCACACCTTGTTTTTTAATACATCATATTGCCTATGGGTTACACAGTGCCATGCAAAAGTACTTGGTTGCACCATTGTCACATTTCATAGAGTTAGATGGATCCAGCCTTGCAAAACTTTTATGAAACCAGGAAATGTCAGAACACCCCTTTACACTGATGCTTGCTACATAGGTTACCACACTACAGATCTCCATCCCAACACATGACTTGTGAAGAGGATGTTGCTTTATAGAAGGATATTCTGATACAATGCAAAGTATACCACATTCTTAAGGGAAACTGTTACAACCTGTTTCCCTGTGTGTTATAGTTAGGGCCAGGGGTGTAATCATTACTCCAAACAGTTGCAAAACGTTCCTTTTTGCAACGAAAACTAGCGTATCTATTGGACAGGTTCAGCAAACAGGGAGGGACCTACCTGAATCTGAGTAATGACTACACCCTAGTTGTTATTATTTTAATTTTTTTGTTGTTGTATTTCCATCATTCTCCACTAGGTTTGCTACAGGTATAAAATCCTAGGAAATGTTATTTAATTGACACAAGCTGTCTCCAATCAATCAATGAATATCTGATTGTGCATGAGTGTTTGGTGGGGGGATCGCCTAAGCCAGTGAAGGTGTAGCTTTACGAATCTTAATTGCACAAATTATTTGGAAAGGAATACTATTTGTAGAGGAGTGATTCTTCACCTCACTTTTCTCAAGCTGATCCTCTCCCAAAAAATTTGGGGTCAATTAGGGGCAGTTTAAGGCAGTGTTTCCCAAACTGTAGATTTACATAATAATAAATAATAATTTATTAAACTTCTATAGTGCTTTTCATTACACATTTTTTTTGAAGCGCTGGAAAAAGCTAAACAAACCAGAATAAAATAAAACAGCTATAGGGTAAAGTAGGTCTGGACTACAATTTTCAAACAGTGTTGAAAGTTTTGAGCGTTTCAAGCATCCACAGATGGCACTACAGTCAAAATGGAACCACGAGGCTTGAGCAGAGAGAGGTCAACAGGGGGAGATGAGCAGGTCCTCCGAAGGTAGGCAGGCAGCACAGTTCACTCTCCATTGAAGGTGTCTCACCTTGCCGTCCCCGCCATCTGACTGCCTCTTCTCCGTAGCAGTTGACTCTCAGGTCTTGTAGCGTAAAACGAGAAGTTTGTTTTTGAGCTCTCCAGTCTCCACTCACTCAGGATATTATGATGGCATCCCACTCATAACTTACTTCGGAGGAAACTTCCCGAGTGAAGAAGACATCACTGCCAGCTTGCCATGCATAAGTCCTCCTCATTGGGTCAGGAGACCATAGAAACAACAAAAAATAGGCTGGGGGATATTCAAATCAAAATACAACATTAGCTAGCCAGCCTGGTAGTATCGCTACCTAGCTATCTTGAGAAAGCTGATTTGTCATAAATTCACAGGCAGGAAACAAATAGCTGCAATCAAGACTTAATCTACACATAAAATTAAGTAAAAAGATAAACAAATAACACTTAAAAAGTATTAAATTTTTACCAAATGTACAGGAGCGCTCTGCCTAGGCCACCTCATGGTGCAATGGTAACGATGGAACAATCAAATACATGTATTGTGTTGGTGTGTTGAAAACAGGCCCCCAGTGTCCGATCTCGAGCGTGAAGTCACGAGTTCTGCTTGTAGCAACCTAGCGGTGCCAAAAGCCCTGATCTGCCCTAGAAAGCCTATGTAAATTGAAATTATTTAAGATACTCTTTGAAGAGGTATGGTGTCAGATGTTTTGGGGAAATGGGCAGGGACTCTGCTGTCCTAGCTTCAGGGGGAAGCTGGTTCCACCATTGGGGTGCCAGGGCAGAGCTTGGACTGGGCTGATCGGGAGCTGCCCTCCCGTAGGGGTGGGAGGGTCACGAGACCAGAGGTGGCAGAATGGAGTACTCAGGTTGGGGTTTAGGGATTGAGCAAAGCCTGAAGGGAGGGACAGTTCTGCTTGCTGCTCTGTAGGCAAGTACGATGGTCTTGTAGTGGATGCGAGCTTCGACTGGAAGCCAGTGGAGTGTGTGGAGGAATGGGGTGACATGGGAGAATTTGAGAAGGTTGAACACCAGGCGGGCTGCAGCATTCTGGATAAGTTGCCGGGGTTTGATGGCACAAGTGCCTGGATTAAGACCTGCGCAGCTTCCTGTGTGAGGTAGGGTCATACTCTATGGATGTTTTAGAGTATGAACCTGCAGGAGCGAGTCACTGCTTAGATGTTTGCAGAGAACGACAGGGTGTTGTCCAGTGTAACGCCAAGGTTCTTTGCACTCTGGGAGAGGGACGCCGTGGAGTTGTCAACCATGATGGCGAGGTCTTGTAGCGGGCAGGCTTTCACCGGGAGGAAGAGCTGCTCCGTATTGTCGAGGTTGAGGTGGTGGGCAGACATCCAAGCTGAAATATCTGCCAGGCATGCAGAGATCTGTGTCACCATGTGGGTGTCAGAACGGTGGAAGGAGAAAAGTAGTTGAGTGTCATCCGCATAGCAATGATAGGACAGATCATGTGAGGATATGACGGAACTGAGTTACTTGTTGTATAGAGAGAAGAGGAGAGGGCCTAGAACCGAGGCCTTAGGGACACCAGTAGTGAGAGTATGTGGTGCAGACACAGATCCTCTCCACATCACCTGGTAGGAGTGGCCTGCCAGGTAGGATGCAATCCAAGAGTGTGCAGAGCCTGAGATGCCCAGCCCTGAGAGGGTGGAGAGGAGGATCTGATAGTTCACGGTGTCGAAGGCAACGGATAGATCTAGGAGGAAGAGAACAGAGGAGATAGAGTCAACTTTGGCAGTGCGGAGAGCCTCCGTTACACAGAGAAGAGCAGTCTCGGTTGATTGACTCGTCTTGAAGCCTGACTGGTTAGAGTCAAGAAGATCGCTCTGAGAAAGATAGCGAGAGAGTTGGTCAGAGACAGCACGGTCAAGTGTTTTGGAAAGAAAAGAGGGGAGCGACTCGGGCCATTTTGAAGTAAGAGGGGATGCAGCCAATGGTTAAGGTTGTGTTGATGAGGGAAGTGAGGAATGGGAGGTCTCCAGAGGTGGACTGGAGAAGATAGGAGGGAATTGGTTCTCGGGCCGCCCGATCTCACTAGTCGCAAGATTTCATCTGGAGAGAGAGGGGAAAAAGAGGTCAAGGTGTAGGGTAGTTCTCTGTGAGTGGGACCAGTGGATTTAATAGGCTGAGTGAATGTCGTCAACCTTCTTTTCAAAGTGGTTGACAAAGTCGTCCACAGAGAGGGAGGAGGGAGGGGGTGGAGGATTAAGGAGGGAGGATAGTGGAAAAGAGTTTCCTAGGGTCAAAGGCAGAAGCTGGAAATGTAGAGTGATAGAAAGTGGCTTTAGCAGTGGATACAGACCTTTTTTTGTTGCATTTTATTCATTTAGCAAACACTCTTATCCAGAGCAACTAGGGTTAAGTGGCTTGCTTAAGGGCACGTAAACAGATTTTTCACCTAGTTGGCTCGGGGATTCAAACCAGCAACATTTCAGTTACTGGCCCAACACTCTTAACCACTAGGCTACTTGCCAGGATAGAAAGTGGCTTTAGCAGTGGATACAGAGGAAGAGAAAGTAGAGAGGAGGGAGTTAAAGGATGATATGTCTTCCGGAAATTTAGTTTTCCGCCATTTTCGCTCAGCTGCCCGCAGCCCTGTTCTGTAAGCTCGCAATGAGTCGCGGGGCTGAGCCGGCCGGGAGGAAAGGAGACAATGGGGGTCATAGGATGCGGAAAGGGAGGATAGTAGGGTCGAAGACGCAGAATCAGGAGACAGAATGGAGAGATGATAGGATAGAAGAGGAGAGAGTAGTGGGAGAGAGAGAGATTGCGACGGCGCATGACCACATGGTTAACAGAAAAGGAAACAAAGTAGTGATCAGAGACCTGGAGGGGGGTTGCTGTGAGATTAGTAGGCGAACAGCCTCTAGTAAAGACGAGGTCAAGCGTATTGTCTGCCTTGTGAGTGGGAGGGGACTGGGAAAGTGTGTGGTCAAAAGAGGCAAGGAGGGGAAAGAAAGAGTTGGAAAGAATATGAATCGAAGGCAGACATCGAGAGGTTGAAGTCGCCCAGTATGAAGAGCGGTGAGCCATCGTCAGGAAATTATCTTATCAAGGTGTCAAGCTCATTGAGGAACTCTCTAAGGGCACCTGGTTTGCGATAGATTACAATAATGTTAAGCTTGAGTGGACAAGCTTGGAGTGACAGCATGGAATTCAAATCAGGAGATGGACAGGTGAGTGAGGGAGAAAATAGAAAATCTCCACTTAGGAGAAATGAGCAGCCCTGTGCCACCACCGCGATGACCAGATGCTCTCGGACTATGAGAAAAAACGTAGTCAGATGAAGAGAGAGCAGCAGTGTTCTCTGGGGTGATCCATGTCTCTGTCAGGTCCAAAATGTGTAGGGACTGAAGGGCACCATAGGCTGAGATGAACTCTGTATTCTTGACCGCAGATCGGCAGTTCCAAATGCTGCCGGAGACCAGGAATTCCACATGGGTTGTGCGCGCAGGGTACACTAAATTAGAAGGGTTGCTGCCAAGGGGTGGGGAGCGTCTGTAAAGCCTACAGGGAGTGGAGCAAACTGGGATAGAAAACACACACATAGTTGCCAAAACTACAAAAGAGATAAATGAGATAATCTGAAAATAACTAGGTAAAATACTAAGGTAATAGAGTGGTGTGGAGACTTTCTCTCTTTCCTTCCTCTAATAACTTGTCAGAACCGCCTTTGTTTCCGGCGACGGTCTTAGTTTTGACGACGAGACCGCCGCTGACACTGATTACCAAAACCACAACTGTCACAAATTACCTTGCCACTTAGTCCTGGTTGATGTGTCAACAATCAACTGCAAGTTATGAGCAGTCAGCAGTTCACACACCAAGTAGGATGCTCGGAAGACAGGCAGAACTTAAAGTAGATGGTCCTAGCTCGCAAAAAGACAGTACTAGACAACATGTGTGTAGGTTTTAAGTAGTAGGTACCCAAAAGCTCAGTAGTTACACAGTAGTCATTAAGGGATAATTATATAGTGATTTGTATAGGAAATAAGTAGTGTTCACCAGAAGTGAAAAGTCCCAATTTATCACTCATTACTTCTTAATTTACTACACATCTCAATAGCAATCAAGTGGTAAACCTGTAGGTTTTATGTAGATATTGTGTAGTAGTGATGAGTAGTAATTCAGTAGTACCTTTTCATGAGGGGCGGTCGCTGCTCCCCCCCGAATTCGCCACAATATACTTCCAGGGTTGGTTTCACTGACTCCCCTTAAACTTCCCCTAATTGACCAATTTTTAGAGTCCGTTGGAGAGGACTAGCTTGATCAAAGTGAGGTGTAGAATCACTGATCTACAAATAGTATTCCCTGCCAAATAATAGGCTTTTTTGCCAAGGAGGTCTTTTCGCACAATTTGACATCTAACTAAGATGTTCGGTGCAGCATTTCTAAAGTGAAAACATTTGCATGAAAACTAGTTGTCTCTCGTTGAATGACAAAAAAACACTTAATTGAAGAATCCCGTACATAGTTTCCACTCCTACTGTTGACCTATCAACCAACAGAGGGGAGTAGACTTAGGATACCGAACTTCAACTTGCCTCAAGAAAGCCGAAAAACCTTGCAGAAGACCAAAACGCACAGAAATGTCACAAAAATGTGTCATAATACAGTTGAAGTCGGAAGTTTACATACACCTTAGCCAAATACATTTAAACTCAGTTTTTAACAATTCCTGACTTTTAATCCTAGTAAAAATTCCCTGTCTTAGGTCAGATAGGATCACCACTGTCACGATCCTCTATGAAATAGGACCAAAGCGCAGCGTTGGTAGCGAACATATTGACTTTAATGAACTACACGAGAATACAAAACAAAACACGATCATGAAGTCCTCAGTGACAACGACTGAACATAGAACAAAAACCCACAAACACAAGGTGAAAACACACAGTTTAAATATGGCTCCCAATCAGAGATAACGAGCCGACAGCTGACACTCGTTACCTCCGATTGGGAGTCAACGGACCAAACAATGAAACAACCAATAACAACCCAACTAATCCCCAAACACAACAAAAATGAACACACCCTGGCTCAATAATACAAAGTCCCGGAGCCAGAGCGTGACAACCACTTTATTTTAAGAATGTGAAATGTCAGAATAATAGTAGAGAGAATGATTGATTTCAGACTTTATTTCTTTCATCACATTCCCAGTGTGTCAGAAGTTTACATACACTCAATTAGTATTTGGTAGCATTGCCTTTAAATTGTTTAACTTGGGTCAAATGTTTCTGGAAGCCTTCCACAAGCTTCCCACAATGAGTTGGGTGAATTTTGGCCCATTCCTCCTGACAGAGCTGGTGTAACTGAGTCAGGTTTGTAGGCCTCCTTGCTCACACACACTTTTTCAGTTCTGCCCACACATTTTCTATAGGATTGAGGTCAGGGCTTTGTGATGGCCACTCCAATACCTTCACTTTGTTGTCCTTAAGCTATTTTGACACAACTTTGGACGTATACTTGGGGTCGTTGTCCATTTGGAAGACCCATTTGCGACCAAGCTTTAACTTCCTGACTGATGTCTTGAGATGTTGCTTCAATATATCCACATAATTTTCCTTCCTCAAGATGCCAGTCCCTCCTGCAGCAAAGCACCCCCACAGCATGATGCTGCCACCCCCGTGCTTCACGGTTCTTTGGCTTGCAAGGCACCCCCTTTTTCCTCAGTTCTATTTTTGTTTCATCAGACCAGAGGACATTTCTCCAAAAAGTACGATCTTTGTCCCCATGTGCAGTTGCAAACCGTAGTCTGGCTTTTTTATGGCGGTTTTGGAGCAGTGGCTTCTTCCTTGCTGTGCGGCCTTTCAGGTTATGTCGATATAGGACTTGTTTTACTGTGGATATAGATCATTTTGTACCTGTTTCCTCCAGCATCTTATAATAATAATAATAATAATAATAATAATAATATGCCATTTAGCAGACGCTTTTATCCAAAGCGACTTACAGTCATGCGTGCATATATTTTTACGTATGGGTGGTCCCGGGGATCGAACCCACTACCTTGCCGTTACAAGCGCCGTGCTCTACCAGCTGAGCTACAGAGGACCACACAAGGTCCTTTGCTGTAGTTCTGGGCTTGATTTGCACTTTTCGCACCAAAATCCGTTTATCTCTATGAGACAGAACAAGTCTCCTTCCTGAGCGGTATGACGGCTGTGTGGTGCGATGGTGTTTATACTTGCGTACTATTGTTTGTACAGATGAACGTGGTACCTTCAGGCATTTGGAAATTGCTCCCAAGGATGAACCGGACTTGATTTTCCCATGATGGCAAGCAAAGAGGCACTGAGTTTGAAGGTACGCCTTGAAATACATCCACAGGTACACCTCCAATTGACTCAAATTATGGCAATTAGCCTATCAGAATCTTCTAAAGCCATGACATCATTTTCTGGAATTTTCCAAGCTGATTAAAGGCACAGTCAACTTAGTGTATGTAAACTTCTGACCCACTGAAATTGTGATACAGTGAATTATAAGTGAAATAATCTGTCTGTAAACCATTGTTGGAAAAATGTACTTGTGTCATGCACAAAGTAGATGTCCTAACAGACTTGCCAAAACTCTAGTTTTTTAACAAGAAATTTGTGGAGTGGTTGAAAAACAAGTTTTAATGACTCCAACCTAAGTGTATGTAAACTTCCGACTTCAACTGTATATGCGCAAACTGTTTCGACTGGGGAGCATACGGTAAGCTTTAGGCGATCCCCCACCAAACACTCACTCACAACCAGACATTGATTGATTGGAGACAGCTTGTGTCAATTAAATAACATTTCATAGGATGTTATACCTGCAGCAAACCTAGTGGATAATGCTGTTCTAAAAATAACCCACATAAATCTACCAAAACAACTGGCCCTACTTATAGTGTACTGTGTCTGCTGTCTGATTACTGTAACATTACATAACATGTTTTTCAGTGATACTCTACTAATTATGCATAACATATAATACATAATGCGCCTTATTCACTCTCAAGTCGGGAACATAGATTCATTTACAGGGGGTACAACTGTGTATGGAGAGAAACAACTAGTTTTAACAAGCACATTTGGAAATATGCAAGAGAGAGCATGCTTACCCTGAGTCCAAACCACCCTGGCTGATTGCCCAAGCCACAAGATGGTGAGTACTGAATGAGAAGGAGAGAAAGGGACATTTTAGTGTTATGTAACTGCTCCAACTTCCCTCCCCACAACTTCCTGATAGTGAACATTATTTAAACCATACACTGACTGTAACATACATTATCGGTCAGAAGTTTTAGAACACCTACTCATTCAAGGGTTTTTCTTTCTTTTTTACTATTTCTACATTGTAGAATAATAGTGAAGACATCAAAACTATGAAATAACATATGGAACCATGTAGTAACCAAAAAAGTGTTAAACAAAAGAAACTATATTTGATATTTGAGATTCTTCAAATAGCCACCCTTTGCCTTGATTACAGCTTTGCACACTCTTGGCGTTCTCTTGACCAGCTTCACCTGGAATGCTTTTCCAACAGTCTTGAAGGAGTTCCCACATATACTGAGCGCTTGTTGGCTGCTTTTCCTGCACTCTGCAGTCCGACTCATCCCAAACCATCTCAACTGTGTTGAGGTTGGGGGATTGTGGTGGTCAGGTCATCTGATGCAGCACTCCATCACTCTCCTTCTTGGTAAAATAGCCCTTACACAGCTTGGAGGTATGTTGGGTCATTGTCCTGTTGAAAAACAAATCATAGTCCCACTAAGCTCAAACCAGATGGGATGGCGTATTGCTGCAGAATGCTGTGGTAGCCATGCTGGTGAAGTGTGCCTTGAATTCTAAAATAAATCACAGACAGTGTCACCAGCAAAGCACCCCCACACCATAACACCTCCTCCTCCATGCTTTACGGTGTGAAATACACAAGCAGAGATAATCCGTTCACCCAAACCGCGTCTCACAAAGATACGGCAGTTGGAACCAAAAGTCTCCAATTTGGACTCCAGACCAAAGGACAGATTTCCACCGGTCTAATGTCCATTGCTCGTGTTTCTTGGCCCAAGAAAGTCTCTTCTTATTATTGGTGTCTTTTAGTAGTGTTTTTTTTGCAGCAATTCGACCATGAAGGCCTGATTCACACAGTCTCCTCTGAACAGTTGATGTTGAGATGTGTCTGTTACTTGAACTCTGTGAAGCATTTATTTGGGCTGCAATTTCTGAGGTTGGTAACCCTAATGAACTTATCCTCTGCAGCAGAGGTAACTCTGGGTCTTCCATTCCTGTGGCGGTCCTCATGAGAGCCAGTTTCATCATAGCGCTTGATGGTTTTTGCTACTGCACTTGAAGAAACTTTCAAAGTTCTTGAAATGTTCCATATTGACTGACTTTGTCTTAAAGTAATGATGGACTGTCATTTCTCTTTGCTTATTTGTGCTGTTCTTGACATAATATGGACTTGGTCTTTTAGCAAATAGGGCTATCTTCTGTATCTATCTTCAAATGCAATAAGAAGGAAATAAATTCCACAAATTAACTTTGAAGAAGGCACACCTGTTGATTGAAATGCATTCCAGGTGACTACCTCATGAAGCTGGTTGAGAGAATGCCAAGAGTGTGCAAAGCTGTCATCAAGCCAAAGGCTGGCTATTGGGTTACTACATGATTCCATATGGGTTATTTCGTAGTTTTGATGTCTTCATTATTATTCTACAATGTAGAAAATAGTAAAAATTGAGAAAAACCCTTGAATGAGTAGGTGTTCTCAAACTTTTGAACGGTAGTGTATATACTGACTACACCTAATTGTTGAATATTAAAAAAATATATTTAAAGAACTGTGAGGTCCAAAAGTATTTGGACAGTGACACATCTTTTGTTGTTTTGTCTCTGTATTCCAGCACTTTGGAATAATAATAATTTGAAATAATACAGTGCAGACTGTCAGCTTTAATTTGAGAGTATTTTTCATTCACATTGGGTGAACCATTTAGAAATTAGAGCACTTTTTGTACATAGTCCCCCCCATTATAGGGAACCAAAACTCTTTGGACAATTCACTTAAATACAGTGGGGAGAACAAGAATTTGATACACTGCCGATTTTGCAGGTTTTCCTACTTACAAGCATGTAGAGGTCTGTAATTTTTATCATAGGTACACTTCAACTGTGAGAGACGGAATCTAAAACAAAAATCTAGAAAATCACATTGTATGATTTGTAAGTAATTAATTTGCATTTTATTGCATGACATAAGTATTTGATACATCAGAAAAGCAAAACTTAATATTTGGTACAGAAACCTTTGTTTGCAATTACAGAGATCATACGTTTCCTGTAGGTCTTGACCAGGTTTGCACACACTGCAGCAGGGATTTTGGCCCACTCCTCCATACAGACCTTCTCCAGATCCTTCAGGTTTTGGGGCTGTCGCTGGGCAATACGGACTTTCAGCTCCCTCCAAAGATGTTCTATTGGGTTCAGGTCTGGAGACTGGCTAGGCCACTCCAGGACCTTGAGATGCTTCTTACGGAGCCACTCCTTAGTTGCCCTGGCTGTGTGTTTTGGGTTGTTGTCATGCTGGAAGACCCAGCCACGACCCATCTTCAATGCTCTTACTGAGGGAAGGAGGTTGTTGGCCAAGATCTCGCGATACATGGCCCCATCCATCCTCCCCTCAATACGGTGCAGTCGTCCTGTCCCCTTTGCAGAAAAGCATCCCCAAAGAATGATGTTTCCACCTCCATGCTTCACGGTTGGGATGGTGTTCTTGGGGTTGTACTCATCCTTCTTCTTCCTCCAAACACGGCAAGTGGAGTTTAGACCAAAAAGCTCAATTTTTGTCTCATCAGACCACATGACTTTCTCCCATTCCTCCTCTGGATCATCCAGATGGTCATTGGCAAACTTCAGACGGGCCTGGACATGCGCTGGCTTGAGCAGGGGGACCTTGCGTGCGCTGCAGGATTTTAATCCATGACGGCGTAGTGTGTTACTAATGGTTTTCTTTGAGAATGTGGTCCCAGCTCTCTTCAGGTCATTGACCAGGTCCTGCCGTGTAGTTATGGGCTGATCCCTCACCTTCCTCATGATCATTGATGCCCCACAGGGTGAGATCTTGCATGGAGCCCCAGACCGAGGGTGATTGACCGTCATCTTGAACTTCTTCCATTTTCTAATAATTGCGCCAACAGTTGTTGCCAACTCACCAAGCTGCTTGCCTATTGTCCTGTAGCCCATCCCAGCCTTGTGCAGGACTACAATTTTATCCCTGATGTCCTTACACAGCTCACTGGTCTTGGCCATTGTGGAGAGGTTGGAGTCTGTTTGATTGAGTGTGTGGACAGGTGTCTTTTATACAGGTAACGAGTTCAAACAGATGCAGTTAATACAGGTAATGAGTGGAGAACAGGAGGGCTTCTTAAAGAAAAACTAACAGGTCTGTGAGAGCCGGAATTCTTACTGGTTGGTAGGTGATCAAATACTTATGTCATGCAATAAAATGCAAATTAATTACTTAAAAATCATACAATGTGATTTTCTGGATTTTTGTTTTAGATTCCGTCTCTCACAGTTGAAGTGTACCTATGATAAAAATTACAGACCTCTACATGCTTTGTAAGTAGGAAAACCTGTAAAATCGGCAGTGTATCAAATACTTGTTCTCCCCACTGTATGTGTATTAAAATAGTCAAAAGTTTAGTATTTGGTCCCCGTATTCCTAGCACACAATGACTACATCAAGCTTGTGACTCTACAAACTTAAAGAGGCACAAAGACCATTCCCCCAAGACATGCTAACCTTCCACCATTACAAATAACATGGAATGATAGCATTTGTAGGGGGGTATGATATTTATGGCTCTAACTTTCTCACTCATCATTATTCACGATTAATTCATGATTAACTGCAATCATGGTAGCAGCCACATTATTGTAGAGGTGTTCAGAAACATATTCTGTTCTTATTTACAATAAAAGTGATTCCAGAATTACACAATTCAATATTTACCATTCATTTCTGTTGGGCACAAAATAATCAGAATCACAGCAAAAATAAACTGCAAATACATCTAACAAGTTTGTAGAGTCACAAGCTTGATGTAGTCATTGCATGCTAGGAATATGGGACCAAATACTAACTTTTTACTCTTTTAATACACATACCTGTATATTAATGTGAATTTGTCCAAATACTTTGGTTCCCTATAATGGGGGGCTATGTACAAAAAATGCTGTAATTTCTAAACGGTTCACCAGATACGGATGAAAATACCCTCAAATTAAAGCTGACAGTCTGCACTTTGTATCATTTCAAATCAAAAGTGCTGGAGTACAGAGCCAAAACAACAAAACATGTGTCACTGTCCAAATACTTTTGGACCTCATTGTATATAAAACTTGTCATTATTTAAAGATATTAAAAATAAGTGTAGCTTTGTAAATTAAGTGCAGACAAAGAATAATTGGGTGCCAACAAAGTTATTTTGTGCTGTTTATGTTCATGCTGTAAGACAGTACATGTACAATGTATGTGTTCTTATGTAGGGGAAATAAGTATCTGTAAATATGAATGCATTGAAAGCTGACATTTTTATATTAAATCAAACCATTTACAAATGAATTAAAGTTTACAAAATTATAAATGCTAACATTTGAATTTGTCAAGTCCTTAGCATTGTGGTTAATTGTTTAAAAAATGCATGTCCATCCATATAAATGTCAGTTTATTACAAATACATAAAAATCTTACCTGTTACGCTGAGC